TGTGAAAAAAAGATAATGCTAAGTAAGTTATCATCTTCCAGACTCGAATTAATCAATTAGAGTTAACAGAGACCCCCAGCTCTAGGTGCATTGTGTGCTCAGGAAATTCATGTTCATTTCTTAGCCACAAGTTATTGTGGGTCTGTGATCTAGCTGAAGAGTATAGTACTACAGCTGCAAAAATCTCAAAACCACTTCCTTCTACTCATCAGTATCATGTATGTTTTGCTGTGTTTCAACCAAACGTTATTAATCCAGAAACTATTTTTTGGGGGGGTCCTGGATCGTTTGATGGGTGTTGAATGTGAGAAATGATGTGTGTTGCTGGATGCTATGTGCGTATGGCTGTCATGTGAGGCTGTGCTATCTGAACAATTTCCCCAGTGGCTGCATGAAGTGAACTGGAGACATTTGATTACTGTGCAACTTCGTAATTGAAGAGTCTGTAATGGAGGAATGATTTCTGATTATTTCTTGTTGAGACCATGTCTCAGCAGTCCAACTTCAAGAAAAGCTCAAATGATTAAATCACGTGCCCCATGTCCTTCCTACCTCTCCCAGGCTAGTCACAGGGGAATGGTGTGGGTACTGCAGTTGTCCTGGAGAGTGAAAATGAGGCCCAAAATGAAATGTTTGCTTCTTGGCATCATCAGAAGACCATCTGGGTTTAGTTTTGTCCGAAATTCAGACTGTGCTGCATCTAACGTAGCTCTTTCAACAGTGATGGGTTTCTTTTCAGTTGTGAAGCTCAGAGCACCTTGCAAAGGTAGTATTGTGATTTCTCCTTTTTAAAGATGCGGAGACTGAGGTCCAGGGAGGAAAAATGTATTTGATAGTGTCCTTTAATTTGTATTTGTTGAGAAATGGAAGTTCTAAGATGGATGATAGTCAGTTCAAGCTTTCAGTGTAGATAATGAACCTCTGCTTGAATCATCTAATGTCCAGACTGTTTGGACCCTTGTACAGGCCACAGGTTTCTCTAGATCATTTCAAGAGAGAAGGCTGAAATTCAGCCTACTGCTCACTGTGGATCCCTCTTCACATGTAATTGAGTTTGGACAATATGTATGTGCATGATCAGCACTAATCTGTCAACATGTTATCTTGTAAAATCCTGAGGTTATATCACCAACCACCACAGAGAAGAAAATCAGCAGTGGGCTTTGTTCTACAAGTGCTTATCTTTGGGTTTGGTGAGAGAAAATAAAATAAAGAAGATACCTGAGCTCAGCCTAGTCTAAGAATGTGTGGGTACACCACACATGAGAGAGTGACATTCTGTGATGGACTGTGACAGTGCAAAAGTTATGAGCAACATGCACTGCTGTTATAACGTGGTCTGTGGCCCGTGCACCAGAGTCTAAGACAGCTGCTGCCTTCAGTTAAATTAGTGAGAGTTGTTTGGGTGGTTGTACTGAAAACACAGTCCTCTTAACTCATGTAATTGCAGATGAAGGAAGGCTAGTAAAATATTTGTCTATGGTAGGGCAATGCCATCTAGTTACCAGTCTACCAGCTGTCAGGCTCCTGACTCACATGTAATGCAAACTTGACCATTTTATATCCTCCACTTTACAGCAAAATGTCAAAGTCCTTCTAGGTCTTCTGGGCTTTTTTTTAATATCATCTTATTGCAGTGTTTCCTAAGAGCACCTTTGAGGTAGTATTTTCAAGGTATCAATGCTGCCTGGCCCTTGAGTGCACTCAGCAGTGTGAAGGGACCCTCTTCAAAGCCATCTTGAGTGCAGGCTGAGGTCTGAGAGGTCTCCAGAACTTGAGTGTCAGAAACATTTGTGGTGAAAACAAGGTCAGACCTACATGCCTTTGGGAACACTGGATATGTTTATCACTGAGGTGGGAGAGGAGGGAGGGAATGGGTAGGGAATATTTGGTTTCTGCTGGGATTTTTTTCTTCCTTTAGGTGGAAGGTTTCTCTGTTCAGTAATCACTTCAGGTGGAAAATCATTTCCCACCTTGCAGCAAAAGTATGCCTGGCAAGGAGAGAAGTGTTATAAGAGCAGCACTTCATACAGTTGATTTTCAGCCAAAGTCAAGTCCCTCTGGGAGCAGTTACAACTGGTGAAATTTTTTAGCAGGCTTGAAGCCACTCTGACTTTGGGGACTGAGGGAAACCTCTTGCTATCTGCAGGAGCTGCATGTGGCATCATCATCATGTGTCACTTTTTCTTCTGCCTTGACACAGTTAAGGTGGACCCTTGAAGCTCTCGGTCCCAAGCTGGAGCCAGAAAGGAGCCATACTGCCATGGTAAAGCAAAAGGCTTACTATAAAGAACATGTGAATTGCTTAAACAAGGATCTGTTTGAAAGCTTCTGTGGCCTATTCTTCAGGCCTAGAACTCCCATTTGGTTTTGATTTATGGCATCAGCGTTCTTTGAAGAAATAATCTTTGGGACATTAATGAAGGACTTTCAAATGAATAAGTATCAAAATGGACTAAATAAAAGTATTTTAGCAAAGCACATATAGATGGAAGTCTGGCAATTCTATGCATTTGAAAAAAAAAGTTTAAAATATCTATCAAAACACAGTGCCTTTATCTGGAGGAATCACTCTGACTACAAATTATATACATTTCAGAATCTACTGGTCATTCAGATGCAATCATCATAAATTAAAACATATAGTGTATTACATACTGTATTGTTCATGGCCACTCTTGGAGAAGGAGCTCAGCTGTAGCCTCAGAGGGCCAATAATTTAGAATCTAAATAAATTACTATTTTTTCTTATGTTCTGGGAAAAAAGCTAAACTCTTAGCTTGTCTGAACAAGTTAGAGGCTATCCTTTTTTTTTTTCTTAATTAATCAGGAACCCATATATTCACTGAACAGTTTACCTTCTCATCTGTCTTCTTCCTTTTAATCTTGTGCCAGTTATTTAAGAAACAGGCAGCAGTGGTATTTTGGTAACCTGCTTTCAGCATTATTTGCATACTTTTGTATTTTTCCATGGTAATCAATGCTCAACCATAGTGGAATTTCAGTCAGTAAATTTTATGTGCAACTGTTAAAGTAATTTTATTTTTAATGAGTCTGTTCTAGGGATTTTAATGTCCCTTTATAAATAGTTATATTTTCAATATGTCTTCATTTAATCGAAAAGTTTCTTCACTTTATTTTCAGACGACCTCAGGTAGTAGGTGTAACGACGTATTAACACTCTGACCTTTTAGCTTCTGGATTTCTGTTAGTTCATCCACATTTCGCTTGTCCATGTATATTATAGTTTGCATATGATTTTCCTCTATGGGGTGTTGAAATGAAGGGTGTTTTCCATATAAACACCTTAATAAACTGTAAAGGAAGAAAATATGCTATTGTATACTAACAGCTTCATACAGACTGTCATGAGTATTGTAATCAGTGTGCACTGCTACTAGAAATCCACACTGAAATAACATTTGATATTTGCATGGTCATCAGCCAGAGGGATGATCTCAAGCCATATTCATCAATACAGCAACAGCTTCTGATATTCATGATGTTGTTTTGAAATTACTTCAATTATTTATCTAAAACCACTGCTCATTGTGCTATCTTGTTGCCATCACTTTTGTTATAAATGTCTTCCATTAATTTATTCTACTACCAGTGTAATTTTCCACTGGTGTAAAATTCACCAATGAATTGTTGCTATGAAGAGATGGGAAGCGATTGTTGCTAATTCCACAGAGACCTTGCTGGTGCAGGCTCCTCCCCTAGTAATAAGCTATTAATATAATTTCTACCATTGCATCTTAATAACTCAAGCAGCTGGCTACCTACTGATTCCTTGGGAAATAATTCCACAGTCAACAGTCTTTGTTGAGAATTTTTTACCTGGTGCACCATCTTCTTTATTCTCCTTTTTTCATTATTTATAGCTAACCTCTCTCTCTACTATCCTTTTTGAATTTTCCATAGTTATTGTTAGCTGATCCAGGCATATTTATTTCTTTTATCTTCATGAATCAATTGCTTTAAGACCCTATTCAATTTAATTTTTAATTTCTGATCTCCCTTTCATCTGTCCAGAACTTTCTGGCACACAAATGCAAGGTATGTAGTCCTGTGTTCTGGTTTGTACAATGAAAGAGTATTACTTTTGTGCTCTCTGATTTGGTATCACTATGAATATACCTCAAAATAATGTATAAAACTGAATGGCTTGAACAACATCCATGGCACTTCAGTGTGAAGTAGATGGTAAACATGTCTACTTTCTGTCTGAGAGAAGCCAAAACAGTGGGTCAGAAAGGACCTTGCAAGAAATTACAGTGGAGGACACTATAGATATTGAAATGTCCTGTGATAAAACCCTGATGTGGTCAGGTTACCTAACTCTGTCTACTATAGAGAAGCTATTTAAGACAAAGTATATTCTAGTACAGGTGTTACTAGCTTATTTAAACCAGCATCAAGAAACATTTTAAGCTTCTTCTCACAAAAATATTGACCAAAGACTTTTAGAATTGGTTAGAATGTGCAAATCATTTATATTTCTAAGTATTCCTGCTGATTTACTGATTTTAATTTTTGCATTGTAACATTTTTACTCCTTTCATTATATTGAAAAATCTGCAGTTTTGCAAATAAACCTCCCATAGCTGGTGAGTCTGCTTGCTAAAAAAGAGTCCTGTGTCCACAAGTTAATAACACTTCAGTAACTTGCACTGATTAATTCAACTTCATGTAAGTCACGCTAACAACTTTTTGCTGCAGCTCAAAAGTGATCAGGAAAATGCTACAGCTGAAAAATACTGCCTTTTAAGTTTTTGTTGAATATATTTATGACTGTAAAATTCTGATAGTTGTTACGTACTTTTAGAAGAACCTTGTGGAAATAGGATGTTCTTTCTGTTCTCTCTCAGCTTGAACTAAAACTTCTTTTGGTTTGGTGCATGTGGATCCATATATGTTGATATCAAAAATATTAATTAAACTCTTGCAACTTAGCCTTAGACTGAAACTTAATAACATGTATGATTTTGTTTTCCCAGCTTATACAAATCTGTGTCTGAAGGAATGAGTCTGAAGGACCAGCTTAACTGTACTTTTGGTACTTCTGATTGTGGGCTGCAAGGCAGGGAGGATGTTGTGACCCTTACCTATCACCAGATTGAAGATCTGGCAGCTCAGCTGCAGCAAGCTCAGTCAGAGCAAAAGGAGACAGAGCTGAAGCTCCAGAAAGCCCTGGTGGCTTCACAAGAGGCCAATGAAAAAGTTCAGAAGTAAGTCACTCGCCTTCTTTCAAGAAAAACTGCAGTTCAAAACCAAATGAAACGTTGTTTCTCCTCGTATTTTTCAAAGTGTGGCAGTACTCAGACAAGCTCCTTTAAAATGAGTCTTTTGTTGTCAGCTGTTCAGCTGGTTACCTACTCAGCATGAAGCCAATCATTTTAACAGTTTTATAGTATTACACAAGTCAGTGTGCCTGTCATTACAGTTATGGAAACTGCTTTCTACATGTGCAAGGCACAGAGAAAGTGTTTCTATCTCCTATGAATGGTTTTCACTATCTTTTACCCCATGGCAATCCTATGGCAACAGAGTATTTGCCTTATAATTGCATGATAGAGTATTAAAGTTCTGATTTTTGATCTGTTACTCATCTGACAGGTTTCATGCCATGGTAAATGCTGATGGGATTGTTTAGGGGTGGCTTCAAAATCTCACTGAAACCAACAGGAAGTCTTTGAGTCAGTGAACAGGGATTACATTCTCTTTCCTGCCATAAGATTCCCTGTTAAAAGGTTACTGAACTCCAAAACGTAAAGTTCATCTCTACTGAAGTCCTTATTGTCATGTTTGTTATTACTAGCACATAAACCTTTGAAAGTCTGCTGGGACATAGGCAAATGTGTAGGCAGAGCCTCTTCACAGTCTAGCACTTCTTATCTCTGCATTACATTCATCAGCTGCAAAATACCCCTCTCTCACCCTTCCAAGGTGGTCGATGCTGAACTAATGCAAATTTTCCTGTCTGTCCATATTTGTCTTTGATTTTAACGTCTGCAGCATATTTCCAGAGTAGTCAGAAATTGGTTTATAATATATTGCAAGGACCTAACAAGAGTTCTTCTTCCTGTTTAAAAAATGCATCTGCGTTCTCCTATTAAAGAATTATTTTTTTTATTTGTAGCTACATAAAATATAGTTAAGATAGATATATATGAAAATATGTATTTTCAGTAATCTCTTTAAAACCTCCAGTAGTTGTTTGAGAATCATTCAAATCTTTATTCTGAACGCTTATATATATTTGAAACTTCATCAGATACATGCTTGGTAAAAGTAAACCTACAAAAAATAATTACAGCATGTTAAAGAGAATATTGGCTAAACTTTTCTGCACATTGTTTAAAGTTGTTATTTCATTTAGTTTTATTTATAAATATTTACTAACCCTAGATGTTTAAGTGAAGGTCATTTTTGGGGTTGGTTTTTTTTTTTAGTGAAACAGTCGTTTAATCCCATGTAACCAGGGTGGTTAGAGTAGAAGTGCAGCCACAACCTGAATTAAAGTGGTGGTGATGCAGTGCTATAGTGAAAAGAATTTACCCAATTTAACATGCTCAACTACTTGGGAAAATTTTGGTCAAGTTAGTTTTCATTATTGCTAAGATCAGACCACTGAGCCTATAGCAAAATTAAACAATTGGGTGAAGTCTTTTGATGACAATAGCATGCCCTTTTTACCAAGAAACTGTGGAAATGCTCTGTGCGTCTTCCCAGCACCCAGAGTCATCCACCCCCATCTTATAATTCAACCTGCAAACAGATTAAGCAGCTGAGTTTGTGGAAAGTGTGTTTACTTTGAGCTAAGAACCCTTGTGTGACACTATAGAGATTCCTCTGACACCTCTGGGAGAGCTACACAGACAGTTCGTACTCATCAGCAGGGAAACCGGGCTGAGAATTCCCAATTTCTTTGTAACCTCAACCGCTTCATACAAATCAGTGTTTGGCAATTAGGCAGGAACTCATTTGTTAGCTTAGCTTTTTATTTCGAAGATGTAGGATATTCTACATTTCAAAAAGGAACTGACAATTTATAAACCTATCAACAGAAAGGCTTCTTATATTAATTACAGTAGTATTAATTATTAGCACTGTCTTAACAGGATGCTTACAGTAATTTAAAATGTGTCACTACGATTCATAGCCTAAATAGGGTTCTGAAACATCTGTTTTCTTGACTTCTTTTAAATGCTCAAATAAAATTGAATTCTGACATAGGAGGGAAGTAGGGTTTTTTAGCAGCTGTATAAAGGGCTGTCTGAGTACTATCCAGAAAAATACTTGAATAGTGTAGCAACAGTTAAAAATCAGAATAGGAAAATAATTATGAACTTCAATAAGAAATAACATAATTAGAGTAATTTGAAAAATGTTGAAAAAAAATGTACTTTGTATCTTTATACCATGTAATTAATGGGTGTTCAGTATGCCTTTGCTAATCTGTTCTCTGACAAGACTATAGATTTTTTTAATATTCTTAAAAACTTCAGTGTTTGCATTCAGTGTCATATGAGGTGCTTGAAATAGAGATGTAAGTTCTCCATGGCACTGCCACCATGTCAGCCATTTGTGTACCCACCTGCAATTGTTGCTTTCTAAATGTGAGATCCAAATCAGAATAGCGGTCCTGGGTTTTCTGTCAGGATACAAAGCATCTAAAAAATTTCCAGATCCTATCCCACATGAAGCAGCAGCTGTGAACCGGAAGGGGAATATATTGGAATCTGCTTATAGTGAACTTGGATATAGTAAAATCCTGTTTATACTGAAGTAGAGGTGAACATCTCACATCAGCTCACCGCAGTGTAAGAGATACATTGCAACTATGTGCTCTTGCCTGTGAAGATGATTTGTCATCCTAACAGAGGTGATGGTGTGAAACAGAAAATGTTGATGCTCAGAAAGTGACCACATGGATTTAGCAGCATTTGTTTGAATCTATTTTGATTTTGAAACATTCATAAGATGAGCAGTATTCTAGTTTATAAAGCAAGTACACATTTTAATTTAGGTGTATGCAAATAAATACATGTATGTGCATACATAACAGAGTACATATTTATCCATAGGAAATTATGATGATCCGCATGATACTTGGTATTTTTAACCTATACTCTGTAGAATGGCTATAATTTTCTATGTTTAATTAATGTTTCTAATTCATGGTTACAAACAAACAATTAGGATGGTGGCACAGAATTCACCAGGAGAGTTGGCACAGTGTCACAGGCCCCCTGCAAGTTTGTCCTGCCAGAGAAGGCAGGAGCCAGCTGGTGCAGCCCCAGAAGGGAAATGGGGCTGACCTGGAGAAAGTGGCTTGAAGATCCTGTGAATTAATTCATGCCTCTTCCAGCAGAGGAAGCAAGACATTTTAAAACTGCCCTTCGTGCTAGAACCTCTGGGATTGAGGAGTGGCTACTGATGTCAGTGAGATCAGAGGAGGTTATAATGTAATACCAAATCAATATTAGCCAATTATCAGTAAAGGTTGAGGCCACTTTTGATGTGTTTTTCCAGGAAATGTTCTATTTTTCTGCAACAGCTTAGCAGCTGAAGTGAATTTTAATGCAATTTATCTATTGAGGGCTTCCCTTTTTTCTTACAATGTAATGATTCCAGCTCAGTAAAGCATAGCTCTCTCCCTGTGAGCACAGTCACACTTGCACACTCACATAGCTGTGTTAGGTAGCAGCAGAGGGTGCATGTGTAGAATTTCTATGTAATCCTCTAAAAGTAAACACAAATCCACAAAGTAATGATGCAATGCTAAAATACACAGGTATGAAAATAAGCATAAATGGTGAGAAGCATGCTGCTTATATACTTCATTGAGGTAGTTCTGTGAACAAATCAAATACAAAATCGATGCAAAACAGAAATTATTATTTCATTTGTCCTTAACTGTTTATTAAAGACACCTTTTCTTTAGATTTTTTTTTTCTTTTAAGGAGGATATCAGCAGAGTTACAGATTCGTATAAAATATTTCAGCGGGTTGAATGAGTAAGAAAACTAAGCTATCTGCTGAATAAGCAGATAGTTTTATCAAAGGCAATTACTCTTTCTCATAAAAGAAATATTACCCTTAATAACATTTGCTTTACCTCTTAAGGTGTGGGGGTTTTTGACCACTTAACTTTCATGATTACTGGAACACATGCTTTTTTTGAGTAGTCCTGGATTTCCCTCCAGCATTTCTGAACGTTCTCTGCTTTTGTAGTTGTTCGCTTAGATTCTTAGCTCATGCTGGTAAATAAGTTGATTGATGACACAACAAAAACAAACAGTTCTTACCAGCATTCAACACAGTCAAAAAGAACGCAAAAAACGGAAAGAAATAAGAAGCAAGCATTTATTAACTGTTTAGAGTCCTCCTCTTCTGCAAGTAAAACTAATCTGACTTCTGAGTACAGGAGCTGTGTGCATTTCACATCAATATCCAAGATGTTCTCCAGTGCTGGCTGGAGGGCCTAATCTTTCCCGAAATGATCTGAGCAGTGCAGTTCAAGAACAAGAATGAATATTTGAATAATCACACCACAATGTGAGGTGACCCTCCGACTGGGGACTGACCAGATACACATATGGATTTGGGGAAGACACTCTGATGCTCTTTTTTAACACAGCTGTGAGAAGAATGTGACTAAGACCCAGTAGTCTTTCTGGAGTATAGCTGGCAAAGGAAACCATGAGGAGAAGAGAATTTAACACATGGGTGTAAGAGAGTCCGCTTCATTGATGCGATCTGAGGGGAATGTCTAATGACTGGAAGAATCAAACTTGGCAATGAAAACACAAAGCTCTTTTCATCAATTCAAACGCAGACTCTAAAGCTGCAGATGGTTACCTCCAGCCTTGCCTATTCAGTGCAGGGTTGGATAAAATGGCACTTTGGTGAATACTAATAGATCAAAACAAAGATTTAATAACATAAAGATGTGGTGTTCATTTTTAAATGAGGATACAGGTCAGTGTCTTAGAAAAGAGTGAAATAAGTATCTTTATGTATGGGTCTAAAGTCTCTGGAGATTTTTAACTGCAAACATGGTATCTTTAGTGTGCCGATTGTATTCAGCACAGCACAGCTATGCAGGGAACAGACTAAAAGCAAGATTTCTAAGTTATTATACTAACTGACCCTCTTTGCAACATGCAGATGTTGTTAACTAGTTATCTTCCTTTTAAAATCATACTCGCATATATTTAGTTGA